TTAAAAGTGAAGAAAGAGGAAAGAAGAAAGAAAGGAAAGAAAGGTAGAAAGAAAGGAAAGAGAAAGAAAGAAGAAAGAGAGAAGAAAAGGAAAAGGAAAAGAAGAGAAGAGGGGATTAGAAGCCTCTCAGAAGAGGGAAAGAGGAGAGGGGACCCAAGAAATTAAAAAAAAAAAAATCGTCCGCATCGACCCAAGAAATTAAAAAAAAAAAAAAAAAATCGTCCGCATCGATTAAAAATGTCTTTCTATGAGCTGTGACCCTTGCAAAACACAGGGTGCTGCAAAAATACCCACGACATAATTGTAAGACATTAGTTACAGGATGTAACAGAAATACATTCCACATTAGTTAAGACATTAGCTAGATTTGCACTTGCCTAAGTTCCCTAGTACCATACAAGTGACTGCTTAAAATGTGAGATTTAAAACATGTACTTTGCAAAGTATTTCAAAAGTATTTCAATATAAAACGAAGTCTTAATTTTTTTTGTATTGTTTTGGAAGTATCAAAAAAGTAATTTATCTCTCCCTAAAGTCATCAAGGTTAGAATCATTAGATCTTTAGGGGGCAAATATGAAATTTTAAAAAAAGTTTTGTTTATTGACTACTACAATGTCTAAATTGATTTTGTCTTTCGATTTGTCGCTACTGATTTGGAAGTAATTTTACCATACCATCGCAATATAGCATCAGGTCTGTGTACATCGCTGAATAAAAACAATGACCTAAAACACTAACTAGATATTTTCAGAAACCAGAATCAGATAATAGTTTGTGTATGCTGCGAACCTTTGAAAATATAGAAAGCGGAAGTAGTAAGGTCTTACTGAGGAATTGATTTGGTCGTACATTGTGTCAGTGATGAGACAGGACAGCCTAAGTTCTCAACTCCAAATAATTTGAGGAAATGTGATGGAGTGTTTGAAAGTCAGTAAACTTTATGTGGATATTGTATAACGAAATCTTGTGCTTTACAACGAATGAGAACGGAGTATTAAAAATATTTTGTTATTTAATAACAAAAATAACTTAACGAAATCTTTATATTCAACAAAAACAAACTATAATTAAATTTTTCAAATTCAATAACTGGAAAATATTACTAAGAAATATTACAAGCAAAAATAAAATACAAATTTTAAAAAAAAAATCCATTTATTTAAAAGCTTAAAAGAAAATGGCGACATTGAGAGACTGAGTGGATTGTTTAGCAATACAGCCCAGTTTTTGACAGTTTGGAACTATGTGTGTCGGATATATTAACCATAAGTACACAAGAGAGTCTGTTCTTTGTCTTGTATTACAGCCAAAGCTGTAAGTTTGATCTTGGAGCAGAGATAGTAACAATAACTGAAAGCGGTACGAATATAAAAAAAAAATGAGATTAGCAAAAATGAAGTATTTTGCCATGGCTGTAGTTATTCAAGAATCCCATGACTAGAACCTTGAGTTTCAGAATATATATGAGGTTATGAGGTCTATCTCCAAAACTCCGGGAGAAGTTCGATAATATATATATATATATATATATATATATATATATATATATTTGTCGATTTCGACGTATGAGGGTCAAGCAGATCAACTCCCAGGAAACCGACAGCCCGACAACAGCACACGAGATTTGATTATAGTGGTGAAGGTTTCGTGCAGGACCATCCACACCTTTTGATGGGCCGAATTCAGAGACCTGGTGCACTAAGTGCCACAAGGTCCCCAAACGACCCTCCACAGGTTTTGAATTCAGAGTTGTCCTCCTCCTAGACAAGTTGCCATCCAAGGCTATAGAACCCAGTCTGGGGGGAGAAGAAAAAGATTCACACCTTTCCAAAGGGTATTAGCACGCAAGTGAATGTAATGGATTCGACTGCTCACCGATTTCTAAAGAATTAATGTGTATTTATTTTAATCCGGCATATTTTATTATGGAGGACACATTAAGTTTCATTGAATGCGCAGGTCAGTAGACGAAATAAACAATTTAAAAGACGTAATGTTCCGCTCAAATACGGACACACACACACACACACTAAAACTAATCTTATGTATGTTCCAGTGATACAGTGTAAACAATACATAATATCCAAACCAATTTAGGAACATATTGTAATTTGAACCTTTCCCGAGTACCAAATGCCATTAAAATTATTGAAAAGATACTTGAGCTAGAGCCGTTTTTCTGTTTTTAAGACTTTATTAATAGGAAATTCGGTATTTTTTCGATATTCATTCTGTTATCAAATATATCAATTCGCGTATAACGCTTGCATATTATTTTCCAACTATGCTTGAAAAATAACATTCCTGATACATAACATTAAATTTAAATATTCATAACACCATATATTTATACAATTCACTACACTATATTAGAACATTTTTTTTATAAACAATTACTTGAAAGGTGAAGAAGCTATACGTGTCACATGAATTGATGGAAAATAAATGCACGTTGATTTGCTGCCGCTACTTATTCTGAAATAAATGGAAAGTAGAAGCAAGTATACATAATAAAAATATGCTTATTTTGAAAAAGATTATACCTACTTTAAGCTATTACTTCAAATTTTCTAAGAAGCCTAGTGAAACAATAAGCCTTCTTTTACTGTCTTTAAATACAAATTAAAATGCGTAATTAATAACGAAATTGATAAAATTGTTCCCTCAACATTTTATATTATGAAATGTTTTTCAAAGAAACCCAAGTGATTTATGGATGGTCTAGAATGTATTAAAGACACACGGTATTGCTGCCATATATGGTCTGGGGCACCTTCTGTTTACCTCGGAGTTCTTGACAAGATACAGAGACGGATATGTAATATAATTGGCCCTGATCTTGCGTCTCGTCTACAGTCACTCTCTCACAGACGCGCCGTCGCTTCTCTCTGTCTTTTCTACAAATACTTTCATGGTAATTGCCCCGATGAGCTGCTTTCACTGGTTCCCAGACTCCATGAATTCAAGCGCCCTACGAGGCTGGCATCCCGCTCCCACCCTTGCACTGTAGAAACTTTTAAATGTAGCCGTCTCTTCTACTCCAATACCTTGCACCTTTCGCCTGTGGAACACCCTTCCCAATTACTGTTTCCCCGAGAGCTATAATCTCCAACTATTCAAATGTAATGTCAATCGACACCTCCAGTTACCTTGATCTACCTACTATCCTTCTCCTCATTCTTTCTTCTATCTGCTCTTGCTCCAAATCTTCTGCACCACCACCCCTGCATCCTAGTGGCTTCACGCCTTGCTCGGGGCGTAATGCTTAAAAAAAAAAAAAAAAAAAAAAAAAATTATATATATATATATATGTATTTTTTTTTTTTCGCCGGGACGGCTGTAAGCTTATGATGGGAAAAATATTTATGCAGAAAATATTTATTCTTAAATATAATCGTCTTTCTTGTCAATGTATAAATGCAACGATTCTCCGTTAATAATATCGACCAAACATTATACAGTGAAACTTTCAGAAAAAGTCAGTTAATAACTAGAAGAATAAGCCAAATATAAATGATTTTGTTATGCGTCATAAATGACACTCAACTGCAATTTTCGATTGTAGGTCATGGCTACATTTACTGCACTGGGTGTTTGCTTCGTCCCCACTCCCGCTTTTTCTCTCTGTGATTAAAGCCGAGAAAATCTTCCCGCTAAACGAATTAGGAAAAGAAAATCTTATAAAAGGGAAAACATGTTGATCGAGTTTGTGAGAATGAAATAATGTAAAAGAAAGATAGTATAGTTGTGATAGTGAGGAGGAGAGAATAAAGATGTGTCAAGAGAAATAAATGGCTAGTGTATAAAGGAGAGAGAGAAATAATGTATGCAAAGAGAGAAAACGGGTGAAAGAGAATGTGAAACAATTCGACAGGGTAGGACAAAATATATGTTAGAAGTGAGAGAAATGCAGAGAAAGTATCGTTTAAGAGAATACGCACGCGCAATAAGACCAACTTTAATAATTCACATTTCTAAAGAGGGGTGTGTGTGCGTGTGTTTTCTCAGAAGTTAGCAAGGCCAATCATCGTAGAAGCGGTCACATTCGGTACGCAAATTAGGGAAATTTAAAATAATGTCTAAACTTTTATCGCATGAAGGAGACGGCAGGTAACGCCTGGAAATATTGTACGAAATTTCGAAAGAAATAATTGCAAGGAAAATATGAATGTGAAAAAAAAGAGAGAGACCCAAAAAACAAAAAACACCCAACATACACAAACAAAAACAAAACATGCTGCTGTTTCTTTTTTACGGCTTCAACCTTTTGCAGTTTATTTAAAGCTAGAAAATATTTTTGATTGTAAGAATTTTTTTAAGATAATTATTTACTGATTCAAATCGTACTAATTAACTCTTAGCTGAAGAGGTGGATTCATATCTGTCCCAAGGGTATTTGCGCGTAAGTGAATATAACGAACCAGACTGGAATTAGATCTCAGATATACAATTTACAATCCTGAGCCGTTATCTATATTACCTAAATATCCAAGCTTACAGCACCTTGTATTCCCAAGCGATCCGCCATCTAAATACTGACCAGGCTCGACGGTACTTAACATACGGGAATTAGCGTTTCATCGTGATATGGATGTATACCCATGAGTTGCATAAAAAGGTAAGAAATAAGATAAAAAACCTGCTAATTGACAGGTAGGAAAAAATCTAGACAAGAAACAATCAGGATAGAGAAATTTACTACAGGGATAGAATAAACACATTGGAAAGATCTATTATGACAAGAGAAAAGAGAAACCTAAGCTGCATAAAAATCATATCTCAATCTATTAAAATCCGAGCTTAGATCGGCACTTCAAGAAGAGAAACAAAGCAACAGAACCAGATGAAATAATTGTAATCGAGATGCCGACAGGCTTAGACGAATTTGAGATCGATAAGGTTACCGAAGTGTTAAATGAATTATACGACAGTGGCGAAATACTTGAAGAACTTAGATCAATCTACGTGGCGCTACCAAAGTGTACCATTGTAAGTTTAGAATTAAACTGGAAATAGAGTAAGAACAACGTGATCTTATTTAAGTCACTGGAACAGGAAATGAGATTTTATGTTCATAATGCTATGAGAGCGAGCAATAAAATGTATTGGATAATATATATATAT